TTTTTCGACATAAATTATTGTTGCATCTCCTAACATTGTCATATATCCATTATCTTCATTCTCGAATTTTCAAGACTATCCTAAATGTGAATAATTACTAATTCCAGTTTAGATGAATTATGTAATGATGATTCCTTCATATTTTATTTTTATCTCAACATTATTTTATATCTTCGTCAACATTTCATCCCTACTTTTGCTTAAAATAATTATCATTGATATTGTCATCAAATATAGCTTTCTAATGTCATCCTTTTGCATCATACTCTTTGAAAAATAATTCGAATTTGTTATAACTATAATTTATAATGATTATTTTTTTATTGTAGATTGGAAGCTAAAACATTATGTTTGAATAATTCGTTCTCAATTATTTTGATTATAGTGGTTGCAATTAGCCATATTTGTAAGTATAACATTTCATAATACCTAGATATATATAATTTTTCTCTAGTCATAATGACATAAGAGACACATAAATATTTGAAAATGTTTTTAAAGTCATAATTATTTCAAAAAAAAAAAAAAAATTACATGAAAAAACTTAGGAATAATAACATATTTATTGATTAAAGATACTCATCTATCTACATATCTTGTCCAACATAAATTATTGTTGCATCTCCTAAAATTGTCATACATGCATTATCTTCATTTCCAGATTTTTAAGACTATCCTAAATGAGAAAATTTAATGAGTCTAGTTTTCATGAATGATTCATATTTAAAGTAAATTCACTATTTATTTTTATTTAATTAATTTTAATTGCAACTATTTTCTAATAAGTGCACGTATTATAAAATTCAAGATTTAAAATAGAATTTTAGTTATTTTATTTTATTTCTGTAATTAATCTATTTTTGCTTATATTACAACAGTAAATGCTATTTTAATTCATGTAACACATTATTATAACAAACATTTATACTATACATACTATTAAGAGGTAAACATAAATCATATTATGCATATTGTTTTAGTGAATAATTTAAACAAATATTTATGTGAAGATTATATTTTTTTTTTTTACTTAACAAATAACTTTTTTACATAGAAAGTTGACATTTTGTATGTTGAATAATTATATTTGATTCAATTATTCTTAAACATATGCATGTTCACTAAATTGTTCTTGTTTAATTGTTTTAATACTAACCAAAAATTTGTATGATAAACAATATAATATTTAGAAATTAAAGATGATACTTTTAGTGATGCATTATATATTTCACACTTATGAAATATCATATATTTTATTTAAGAAATCTTAAAATAATTTTTTCTCTTACATTTTAAAACTGCCTTTGAAATAACCAAATCGAAACCTAACATCATATGTAGATTAATTCAAAATAATATAATTAAGAATAAATTATTATTTAAAATATATTAATTTGTGTAGGTAATGTTATGTATGTGTAAGAACTTAAAGATATAATTAAGCATCAAAACAAATATCATAATTAAAAGTTGTAACTTCCTAACATGAATAAGAAAATTACATTAATAACCTTAACACTTATCTTTTTATGAGGATATTCTTGGCAATTCAAAAGTTTCAAGAAACAACTCATACTTTTAAGGGAGTTATAGATGACTCTCCCCTCTTCAAATTCCTCTTTGACATCCGGCTTAACTTGATCGAAAAAACGGGTAGTGTGAGAGGTGCGGAAGGCCTCTTTCGGTTGTGGAGTCTTCAAGATAAACAAGATGGCACGAGCAAATGCTATGACTTCCTCCGACCTAAGGGAAGCGTCAAGCCATGGACCGGGGTTGTTTGGGGGAGTTGCAATACCCCCAAATACTCATTTATCTTATGGCTCGGAGTGATGAATAGACTCCAAACCAAGGATCGACTTGAGTTCCTTAATGAGGATCCGACGTGCCCCCTTTGCGGTACCGCCATTGAAACCTCGAGTCATCTCTTCTTCGAGTGCTCGTTTAGCTCGGAGATTTGGGGTGCCATTCGTGTATGGATTAGCCTCCGTCACACGCCAACAACACTCAAAGAAGCCCTAAAGTGGACCAAAAAAGAGGGAAAATGTACGACATGGAGAGCCAAATTGAAAAACTCGACGCTAGCGGCTACCGTATACTTTATATAGAATGCCCGGAATCGCTTGATCTTTGAAGGCAAAAACCAATCTCCAAGCCACTTGATTTGCAAGGTAAAAATTCTTGTCTATCGTACTATATTTGCCACCTACCCGAGAGTGCTTGCCGAATTTAAAAGTCGATGCCTTGCTCTTGATGTGTAAAATGTGATGTGCTTGGATTGATTGAGGATAAGTGTCCCTGCCGCCATTTTGTTGGATTTTATTGGGTTTCTACTTCGAGTGAGCTCCCGATTTGTGGGTAAGCCCTCGGTTTGGGTATTTTCGAGTGAGGAGCCGACATGTGGCGACCCGCTTCGACTTGAAAGCCGTCTCGGTTGTATGAATTCCAGTTTTGATCAATACAAATTTATTTAACGATAAAAAAATAAAGGAATATTTCACATTTTTTTTTTCAATATATTTTGAAAACGTTTAAAATCAAATACATTGATGATGATGATGATAGTTGAGGTCGTAAAAAAAAATTGTGTTAAAAAATATTTTCAAAACATGGAATATCAAAAAGTAGAAAATACATTGCTCTTGCAATAAAAAGAAATAAAAAATATTTATGGACTCAGTCGTGACCCTACGCTCCATCTCGTTTACAATTTCTTTAATTGGTTCTTTCCTTCCTATCTTTCTCTGACAACCCCCTACTATTTGAAGGAGCTGAGTGAAGGATGTCGTGGTTGTGGTTGACATATGATACTAGGAATTTACATTATCATTGAAATTTTCTGCTTACAGAGTTATTTCGTTTTAGGTAATATTAGAAGTTTTGACATTTAATGAATAATAAGGTTGTCATTATGTTTTTCCACTGTTATTGGTTATTTTTTATTTTATTATTATTATTATTATTATTTTGTGTGTGTGAAACGGTAGAAATTATATTTACATTTAAACAACAGTAAAAAATAGCCAAACAACTAGGCAACTGAATCTAGTGGCGAAATACACAAAGGTAACCTAGAATTTGATTATGTTAACACACCAACAATGCAACAAACTATATAACTCCTACAATTGGAGAATTCAAGATCCTAAAACGAATAAAAACAGCAGCAAAACACACTACACCAACACCACACTAAATTCTAAGATAGAATAAAGCAATCCCCACCCGTTAGCAAACACTCCTA